GTTTAGTCTACAGAGGCCACCGTCGCAGTCACTTTGTGCAGTTTTTCATTCACACAAAGCGGAGTCCTGCAAATACCAATGGATTGCCCGCTCCCCACTGGAGGCGCTAGGATGGCGCTTGGTTTGCGCTAGGGTCTTCGGTGATCTTGGTTTCCAAGAGTTGGCGCGTGGGTTGCCGCGATGGGCTTTGCGTGGCTTTCAAGGGTGTAATGTTGCAGTTCTTACTTAGTACTTGAAGCCAGCCCGCACGTTTACCTTCATCTTACGTGGCCTTAATTTGTCAAATCCACACAGATGGTCGCCGTGACTCCAAAAAATACGGCGAACCCGCGCTAGCCGCGCGCTAGCAAGGCGCTAGCGCAGTGGTCAGCTGTGACCGGTTCCCAGTTACGCTTCAATCCAAATTTGCTTCCGCTCTCCTCGCATGCAATTATCATGGAGTGCGATTTGCTGGACAAAGGGGAGAAACAACGGCTGAGGCAAGACGGCAGGGATGCCTTGTACCGAGCATACGGAAGAATTGGGTTGCGTACTTCCCTGCGAAAGCAAATGCTTTACTGAATCGATACGAAGAGTTGCCACAATACGATCAAAGCACTTTAGCAATCGATACGAAAGACACTGTGCAGCTAAGCGAGAAGGAAGCGCAATGCGCCGGAAAGCTTTTGCTAAGCTGAAGCCTGTAACTGCTGGAGACGCATCCGATACTGATAGTACTAGCAGTAGTAGCAGCAGCAGCAGCAGCAGGCTCGCGCGCTAGCAATGTGTTGCAAAAAAGCTAGATAGATCGTACACGAACACTATTTTCCTACTTGGAACACGCATATAAAACACAAGCGTTGTTCAAGGCAGAGCCCCATGGAATAGCGCCTCACAGCCGGCTTCGGGAACTTGATTTATGTGTCGCCCAGGCGTGCAGGAAATGTAATTTCCATGTGAACACATTTTTGTTGTCCAGGTGAACGCATGTGTGTTGCACATTTGTGTTGCACATGTTTCTCCACATGTGCACACACGTGTGTTCCATGTGTACACATATGTGTGTTACAATTCAACACAGAAGTTTGTTCTGGTTAAACATGCTTGTGTGATCCAGGTCTGCACCAGTGTCGCACGTGAACACAAATGCCTGTTCCAAGTGAGCGCATATATGGGTTCCCGGTGAACACATATGTGTGTTGCAGGTGAACAGAAATGTGCTTTCCAGACATACACACATATGTGTTCCAGGTGTACGCATGTGTGTGTGTGCGTGTTCCGGGCGCATATATATATATATATATGTGTGTGTGTGTGTGTGTTCGCGTGTGCACATATGTGTGTTCCACATGTACACATATGTGCGTTCACGTGCGCACATATGCGTGGTGCACGTGTACACATATGTGTGTTCACGTGTACACACATGTGTGTTCTTATCAGACACGTGTATGTGTTCCAGGAGAACACATGTTTGTTATCAGATGCACACGTGCGTGTGTGTCTGCTCCGCGTGCACTTTTTTTGTATGTGTGTTCACGTGCACACATTGTGTGTTCACGCGTGCGCACATGTGCGTTCCAACTGGACACGTGTTTGTGTTCCAGGAGGACACATGTTTGTTATCAGATGAATACGTGTGTGTGTGTGTGTCTGCTCCGCATGCGCATGTGTGTGTGTTCATTTGCACACATATGTGTGTTCCACGTGCACACATTTGTGTGTTCACGTGTCCACACATGTGCGTTCCAATTGGACACGTGTTTGTGTTTCAGGTGAATACATGTTTGTTTTCAGATGAACGCACGTGTGTGTGTGTGTGTTCCGGGTGCGCATATATATGTGTGTGTGTTCACGTGTACACATATGTGTGTTCACGAGTACACACGTCTGTGTTCCAATTAGACACACGGTTGTGTTCCAGGAGAACACGTGTTTGTTATCAGATGAACACTCGTGTGTGTCTGTGTTTTCCGCGCGCGCATAAATGTGTGTGTTCACATGTGCAGTACACATGTGTGTGTTCCACGTGTGCACATGTGTGTGTGTGTTCACGTGTGCGCATTTGCGTCTCCCACGTGTACACATATGTGTGTTCACGTGTACACACGTCTGTGCGGTTGTGTTCCAGGAGAACACGTGTTTGTTATCAGATGAACACTCGTGTGTGTCTGTGTTTTCCGCGCGCGCATAAATGTGTGTGTTCACATGTGCAGTACACATGTGTGTGTTGCACGTGTGCACATGTGTGTGTTCACGTGTGCGCATTTGCGTCTCCCACGTGTACACATATGTGTGTTCACGTGTACACACATGTGTGTTGCAATGGACACGTGTTTGTGTTCCAGGTGAACACATGTTTGTTTTCAGATGAACACTCGTGTGTGTGTGTTCCGGGTGCGCGTATATATGTGTGTGTTCACGTGTACACATATGTGTGTTCACGTGTACACACGTCTGTGTTCCAATTAGACACACGGTTGTGTTCCAGGAGAACACATGTTTGTTATCAGATGAGCACGTGCGTGTGTGTCTGCTCCGCGTGCACTTTTTTGTATGTGTGTTCACGGCACACACGGCACACATTGTGTGTTCGCGCGTGCACACATGTGCGTTCCAACTGGACACGTGTTTGTGTTCCAGGAGGACACATGTTTGTTAGCAGATGAACGCGTGTGTGTGTGTGTGTCTGCTCCGCGTGCGCATGTATGTGTGTTCATTTGCACACATATGTGTGTTCCACATGTACACATTTGTGAGTTCATGTGTCCACACATGTTTGTTCCAATTGGACACGTGTTTGTGTTTCAGTTGAATACATGTTTGTTTTCAGATGAACGCACGTGTGTGTGTGTTCCGGGTGCGCATATATATATATATAAATATGTGTGTGTTCACGTGTACACATATGTGTGTTCACGTGTACACACGGTTGTGTTCCAATTAGACACACGGTTGTGTTCCAGGAGACCACGTGTTTGTTATCAGATGAACACTCGTGTGTGTCTGTGTTTTCCGCGCGCGCATAAATGTGGGTGTTCACATGTGCAGTACACATGTGTGTGTTCCACGTGTGCACATGTGTGTGTGTTCACGTGTGCGCATTTGCGTCTCCCACGTGTACACATATGTGTGTTCACGTGTACACACATGCGTGTTCCAATTGGACACGTGTTTGTGGTCCAGGAGAACACATGGTTGTTATCAGATGAGCACACGGGTGTGTGTTCCGGGTGCACATATATGTGAGTGTTCACGTGTGCACATATGCGTGTTCACGTGTGCACATATGTGTGTCCCACGTGTACGCACATGTGTGTTCCAATTGGACACGTGTTTGTGTTCCAGGTGAACAGATGTGTGTTTCACGTGAACACATTAGTATGTGCTAGGTGAACTTATTTTGGCATCTGACGACATATTTGCTCTCCAGGTGTGCACATGTATGCGCTCCAGAAAACGCATGATTGTTTTCGAGGTGCGCGCATGTGTGTGCGATTTAGGTGAGCATTTATGTTTGCTCACGTGTGCGCATATGTGTGTTCCACATGTACACACATGTGTGCTTTAATCGCACACGCGGTGTTCCAGGTGGACACATGTTTGTGTTCCAGTGGTATACATATGTGTGTCCCACGCGTACACACAAGTGTGCTTTAATTGCGCGTCTTTGTGTTCCAGGTGAACGCATGTGTGTTCCACGTGTACACACATGTGTGTCTGAATTGGACACGCGTTTCATTGTGTTCCAAGTGAACACACATGTGTGTTCCACGAGAACGCATTAGCGTGTCGTAAGTGAACACATATGTGCGTTCCACGTTTGCACATGTGTGTGTGTGCTTTCCAAGAAGCACATGTTTGTTTTCCAGCTCAACACATTTATGCGTGTGCCGCAGGTGAATGTATACTGTTTCAGTCGTATACGTATGCGTGTTCCACGTGTACACACATGTGTGTCTGAATTGGACATGTGTGTTTGAACTGCCCATGTGACTGCGTGCTTGCGCGGCCACACTTGCGTTCACGCGCGCGCGCGCTCGCCCGCCATCGCGCGCGCTTGCCCAACCTCAGTTCTGGCGCGGTGCTGAAGCGCGAAGCACGCCAGCAACACACGTGCAGCAACGCAACGCGCGCCAGGTTCACGACTGCATCATTTTGATTCATCCGTGTTGAAGCGCAGAAAGCCACAAGCTGTTGGCATGTTTGTGCTCGCCCGTCAGCCCTCAACTGTTTGGGGTCTCTGCTGGTGTAATTGAATAGGATTTCCATTTTGAAGAACATTGTTAATTGGGGTTCTTACTTCAAATTGTATTTTAAAGAGAGCGCCCTTTCTCGGGATATTGTTTCTCCACTTGCTATTTAGAATGAACTGGAATCGAATCAGGAAATAATTCAGCAAACGACAATCTAAATGGGACTTCCTTTTCAAAGAAAAGCAACACACAATTGGAGTTGCTATTTCAAATTAGATTTTGAAGAGGATTTCCTTGCTTAGGGTGACCTGATGCTGGTCAAGTCGCATCGAGCATTTCAAATAAAACAACTGCAGTCCATCCCCAGAATAGCCTTCAAACAGCAAAAAAGGTAGATCCATCGGGGGGGTTGCATATATATATATGTATAAATACATATATATATATATATATGTGTGTATATATACATGTGTAGAAACACACACACACACACACGCACACGCACACACACACACACACCCACCCACCCACGCACGCACGCAC